TTCATGGAAGGGAAAACAAGGTTTGGTTCAAAACCAAACCAAAAGGGAAGCAAGAGAAGGCGCTCGGCCGAAGGCTCTGGAAACCGAAAACTGGCCTACCAGAGGGAAAAGTGGTCTACGAACACAAAAAGTGGTCTACGGACCTCTCTCTCCCTTCAGGCAAGGAAAAACAAGGCATGGTCTACAAACCAAGCCAAAACACAAAGAGTTCAGAGGCCTAGAGGTAAGGAACTCAGCCGAAAACCCCGGAAACTCGAAACGAACACAAACATGCACAATCATCGAGCGCTCAAACGACGACGTCTGAGTCTTAAGGTCGGCCAAAAATGAGGTGTCTACAATATCTATTGGAGGAATGCAGAGAAATTCGAAGCACGGGCACCAATTTCTCATTTTCAAATTTAGCAGGTGAAGGAGTGGAAAATATAGCCACGTCGTTTTCGATGAATAGTGAAACGCACCGTAATTTACTAATTTTGTTCCAAACCTTACAAATTTCAAAGGTACACAATAACTTTTCTATTAAAAAATATATGATGCACAGTAAAATCTATTTAAATAATGTTTATCACAAATACAACATACAACATCTATTTTAACAGATAATATTTTGTGTCAAATAACATAAAATATGCATATTAAAAAATCACAATTTATCCCTTAATATTTTCGACATCATCAAAATTAAACCATATGATTAACAATCTTTCCCTTTTTGATGATGGCAATCTATACATGAATTTGACACAAAATTTCACAGAATAAATGCAACATAAAAAATTTCCACAATCATAATATAAAAATTTATTTGCATTATATTTTCTCCCCATTTATTATCAATTCTGTCAAAAAATTTATATAAAAATCATATTATATTTCTTCTTCCCCCTTTGACATCATCAAATTAAAAGGTTAATAGACAAATTATTTATAGAGAATAAAAATTTTTGGTGCCCAAAACGAAAATCATGTAAACACAGTTGATCAATGATAAAAGATATAGAAAATAATCTGAAAAGAATTTCTTTTTTTTTTAATTTCTTCCCCATGATCGTTATCGAGATTCGCTAAAACAAATCATTCAGCGGCGCTTATATTTGAGCATATATGCATATTTGACACAAAATTTCACAGAATAAATGCAACATAAAAAATTTCCACAATCATAATATAAAAATTTATTTGCATTATATTTTCTCCCCATTTATTATCAATTCTGTCAAAAAATTTATATAAAAATCATATTATATTTCTTCTTCCCCCTTTGACATCATCAAATTAAAAGGTTAATAGACAAATTATTTATAAAGAATGAAAATTTTTGGTGCCCAAAACGAAAATCATGTAAACACAGTTGATCAATGATAAAAGATATAGAAAATAATCTGAAAAGAATTTCTTTTCTTTTTTTTATTTCTTCCCCATGATCGTTATCGAGATTCGCTAAAACAAATCATTCAGCGCGCTTATAATGTTGACGAACAAGATATTTGAGCATATATGCATCGATGATTGTAGTCGTGGTGTGTATAAAAAGTGACATAGATAATGTGTAAAGATACAAAACCTTCAAGTATTCTTAGAGAAAAAAATTTGTTCACTATATATTTGTGTAATCATGTCATTCCTTACCTTAGCCATCAATGGTTCTGACATGAATGAGGTGCCTGAGATTCAGGCAAATGAAAGGTTACCCATAGTGCATTCGCACGTTATTTCAGTAACTGAGAGTCCTAGTGTATTTGGTAATCATAGTGATACAGAGGCTATCTGTTAGGTTTTTATTCTTGACAATCCCGTTTGACAAAACTCTTTTTCAATTGTAATTGTATTCGATCATTTATTTCAGTGAGGCTATGAGTTTTAAATACGAATCAAACCCGAATTGTGCCTATGCAGAGGAGTTTGTGATCTTAATCCTATCATGTTTGCCATTTTGTTGAGTATGTCGGGGATTGAGCTGCTCGATCAGCTCGCGGGGGTCGAGGGGCAGCGCCCCCGAAGCAAAAAGCAAAATTGCAGTCAAAGTTGTTTGCCTGCTCGAGCAGAGATCACGACCTTTTAGAAGTTTCACTCACTTGTAAAAGTATTGAGAGTTGTTTTCCATTCCTACACTAGAGCGTAGATCCGCTTGAGCAGCCATTCTTGCGTTCGAGCGGAGATCGCGGATTTGTTTTCTATAAATATGTGTTTCAGTTCGATTTTAGGGTACGAATTCCAGATCTTTTTCTTGGGTATTAAGGTTTTCAACTGGAGCTTCTTTACTTGTTTCCTTTGATATCTATGAGAGTTTAATCATGAATTGAGTGAATTATATCAAAGGGTTTGTTTAGTTTGCTTTATTAAAAAAATAGAGAGTTGTGCTTTGGTGGATTCCGTGGAATTTGGGCCTAAAGCTTTGGTGGATTTTGGAGTGGCTCATTGTTGTGGATTCGACATCGACGTTGTGGATTCAACGTTAGGCAAGACAATTCCAAGGTGAAGACCGTAGTGGAAGAGGCATATAGGGGTCGGTTCAATTCGGGCGTGGATTCACTAGGTAATTGAGAGTACACTTGTGTAATTCCTTTTGTCTTCTTAGTGGATTGTTTTGTAGCTTTGGCCCGTGGTTTTTTTTATCACAATTGAAGGCGCTCCAATTTTGGTTTTTCCACGCTAAAATTGTTTTGATTGTTTGATTGGGATTGTTATTTACTACTTAAAATTGATACATAATCACAAATCAATATCTAGGGGATTTCTAAATTTTTTCATTATCAATAACACTATGGCTCTTAGTACATATGTGATGACTGCAGTTTCCAATATGGCTCAACAACTATAAGCAAGAAGCCAAGAGAATCAACAATTAAAAGAAGATATGATCTATTTAGAACAACAACTTACTGAAACTCCTCAAGCGAAGAGAATTATTGGGAGTAAAACTTCACAGTTGGAGAGTGCAATATTACGCAGCCGTTACAATGTCAAGACTCATAGAGGTCGAAAATAGAGAAGTTCAAGTTTGAGAAGCTCATGAAAAACTATTGAGAGAAGTTAAGTGCAAAAAATCTGTGAAGCCTAGTCAGAACTAACATGTAATCTCGAAATATTTTCTCATTCTGAAATAAATTACAAGCATTTTTCTTTGTCAAAACTTTTCCTTCTTTGTTATAAAAAGAAATTTTGGTGATGATAAGGAGTAAAATAAAAATATAAATTGATTTCAGAATATATCTTTTTTAAAAATAAAAAAAAATTCCCTCTGAGATTATACATATGATCAAAAAATAATTTTCTATTCGGTTAAAACACTACTGGAAAGTTTACATTTAGCGGCGTTTAAAAAACGTCGCTAAAAGTATAAAAAACGCCGCTAATTCTTTTTGTGACGTTTAGTACCAAACGTCGAAGATGCGGCCGTCGCTGTAACATAATGACGCTTTAAAAACGTCGCTAAATGCCATAAATAATGGTAAAATGACGTCATCCAATATTTAGCGACGTTTTAAAAACGCTGTGATAGATTTTTTTTCTATCTTAAAAATATGACCGTTGGCACCGTAGTGGCGTTTTGGAAAAACGCCGTTATAGCTCTTTCTCTTTTTTTTTTTTTGAAATTGTGCTAAATCTGTTATATTTAACTAAAAAACATACCTGTAATAAAGCTGAAAAATAACAATAATATGAATAAAATTTTACAGCCATTTCAATATATTGACTAAATAAACATTACATGATTATTTCCAAACCAAAATCAAACAACAAACACAATCAAAAAATAAAAAGAAAAAATATATCGAACTCCTGATGTATGCAAAAGCGATCAGACTCGTATTTGTGAAGTTCTCTCTAAATAGCAACATCAACTCTTCAGGCAATACAAAACACTTAAAGGCCGGTAAAAAAATAAACAGTAATAATAATGACAAAAAAAAAAAAAACTCTACCCTTAGTATCTATGTACATCCACTCAAGCTATAAAAATCAGAATTGAATATATGAACCTTGCTATTCTCCAAAACAAATTTGGATTTTGCTTGTGTCACCAAATCAAGCTTAGCTTTTGCAGTGTAACTTAGTCACTAAGTTCTTCACTGCATCATCCTGAAATTCCAAAGACAAATGAAACACTGAAACTCCATAATAGCCAAAAGGATCATGAAATGATATGTCCATACCACATTTTCTAAACCCTTAAATATGTTCAAAAGTTCAGACCAAAATCAGTGGAACATAAATATACTTGTGCCCAAGGCATAACATAGAGATATATGGTGAATTGTCCAAGACACATCCACATAAGCAAGCAACGGAGCAAGAGAAGCATTATCTAGTGAAAATATTTTAAATGATGGAGAAACCTCCCTTCAGGTAGAAACACTCATGCAAAATACAATCACATGACGTGACCAACCAATAGTGCTTGGGATATAATCATAGACATAAACAAAGGTACACAACAATAATGTGATCAATTATTTATTAGAAACAGAATAATATAGCATACTTTAGTTTTTCTTTTTCTTTTTTTCCCTATAATTTGGAAGGTTTGGGAGGAGTTCAGTTCATGCTAATGAAAATAGCTAAGAAAAGAAAAAAGTGGGGCGCGGGATTTAATATCAAACAAACAGGGGGAAAGACTTATGGAAATTCATTTTCTAATTAGTTCTCTTCACTTGTAAACATCAAAATCTTCAGGTCTATAAAATATTATCAAACGTCTGAAATATTTCTTGAGGTTCTCACTGCACTCATCCAAGGCCTATATCTGGTGAAAAGCAAAAGGAAGAGATCACACAATTCACTTATTACCAAGAGCAAAATTGAGTAGCTGCTCAAAGCTCATCATTTCCATAACAAGGATTGAAAAAAATCATCTGATGCCATCATTTATTGAAAGCATCAATACAAAAATCACCTTGACTAAACAATTTCAAAAATTTATTGCCATTAAATTCTAAGAAGAATGAAAACTTTTGCAAATTTATCAACATGAGGAAACAATGCATTTTGCATCTCCTGTTGGTCTCAAGCATATGATTCTTGGGATCCATGTGACAACATACAAAAGTTAGACAGCCTCACTTATGGCCCCATATTAATGTGCATGAATTCCCAGTAAGTTGAAATAATGAATAAAAACCTACCTTATATAGAGTGAGATCGCTTCCTCCAGTTATGTTCCAGACTATCCCAGTAGCTCTTTCTATACCAACATCTAATAAAGGTGATTGAATGGCATTCAATGCAGCATCTCTTGCCCTAGTCTTGCCTGCAAAGGAATAAGAAACCAACAATTTATCAATATAGGCATGCATGTCAACTTCTTTCTTGTACCCAAAAAAATTTGGTCTACTTTCCTCATCTTCCTAATTTGATCATGCTATGAGAAAAAACCAAAAATTTCAGATATTAAACAGAAAAATAAAGTTAAAAGCAGGAAAAAAAAATATAGAAAACCAATAATTCCGAAAATATCATGCAAGTAAGAACTCAATCCTCCCTCCCGTATTAGCCCGTATTAGCTCTATCTTCATTCTTTTCTTGAACCTCTTTTGCTTCTTTCTTGCAATCTATAAAGCATTTGGTAAATAGAAAAAAGTCAGCAAACAAAGATCCACTTAATTTACCAGTTGCAGTTCCTATTCCCATTAGAGATGACCCTGCATTTTCCATGATAGCTCGCACATCTGCAAAGTCAACATTAACCAATCCTGGGACCTGCAGTTGAAGTAACCTACCACCAATTAGAAAAATAAAACATTTTTAAAATGTAGAAGCTGACAAATGGGAAACCTTTGACAACAAAACCCCAACATTTGAAAAATATATGAACCCAAGACCATCCTTCAAAGTTATCAAGTACATATCCCACCACACAAGAAAATCATGAGAGTCAATGATTTTCTTTCATGATTAGCTAAAATACTAACACATTTAATGGTAACCTACAGAAATCAAATAAATTTCAAATACTCACAGACTAACCAGCAAAGAGACATAAACACAATGTAACAATGAGATGATGTAATAAATGTCTGTTACCTCCGTTTTCTATCATCATCTAGAGGCACTGAACTGCTCATTTCCTTTCCAACACGCTTGTCAGGCAGGGTTTGCTTATGTTCACTATTAGATGTGTCCTCGTTCCTAGAATCCTTGTTAATCAAGGCATACAACCTCTCTCCCAAGGAAGCCCTATTCGCATTGGTGGTAGACTTCCCAACTTTTGTTGCAGATCCACTCATTGTTCACAATGAAGAAGATCAAGAAGAGCGGCTAGAAACAAAAGGTGGAGAAGATCAAGAAGAGCTGCTAGAAACAAAAGAGCACTTACAAGCAATATATCAAAATACAGTTTGGAATAAGACCTTCCCAAGCCCTTTGTACGATGCCCTGATCCTCATCATCTTCAAAAGCAATCTTCCTGATCAAAGTAAAGCAAGCATCAACAGCTACAAAATAGTAGCTAAATTTATACAAGAAGATTTCATGATGACGTTAAAAATAAAATAAAAAAAAGTAAAAGAAAACAGTAAAAGATAATGCTTTTGAGAAATGTATAACACAAATTAAGCATGTACATACAGAGGAATTTACACCCCACCACAGAAAAAATCAATGCTTACAAAATTTAAGCAATTGAGCAATTCCTGAGGATACTTTCAACATCATATGTTTAATTGGCTAATCAATATATGAAATCACTAGGTTTTGGAGTTACCATTTCCAGAACAGGACAAATTGCAAGGTTTGACTAGGATGTACTAGTTATCCCAAAAGTTCCGTAGTTGTGACATGTGCAAAAGAAGCTCGTCTCTGCCCAAACCAGTGTTACTGCTGGTCATTATCCGTGCAGGATGTTCCCGGTAATTTTCTCTCATCAGCTCTTGAAAATTTTTGATGTTCTCATCAGGCCTTTTCCCATTACCCTTCATCTTGTCGCATTTTGTGAAAACAAAAGTCATTGGTATCTGAAAGATGAAGGCACAAAAAGGCATAAAAGTCAAGGGAAAGGACAGGATTTATCCTCATACCATTGATAGTATTGCTAACAGAAAGAGGATCGGAAAGTAGCTAAAAATTAGATAAGAGCATACATTGTTCTGTCCAAGCCAATTAGCACAGTCAAGGTCGATCTTATGAGGTGGTACACTCGCATCAATTAGAAGTAGGACGGCAACCAGAGTTTCTCTATTCAAGAAGTAGCCCTTGGTGAATGCGGACCAATCCATTCGAGCAGATTCTGGGGCATTAGCAAAGCTGTAAACAAAGTGAAATCTAATAAGATTTAGAGCTAACTTGCATGGCATCAACTCAACTGCAAGTATTCCATGATGCCACAAGGAATCAATAAGTTAATTTAGAGGTGTTAATGGCAAAAAGGGGTAAAACTAATTGCCCTTATCAGATCTTTACCCCTCCCTTAAAACTTAAACCATTGCTACTAAACTGACTAAAAATTATTCTAATTGCCGACCTGCAGAATTTACATAAGAAATCATACAAGATTACAAATTAAACAAAATTACACGAAATGAATATCATAAGATCATCATGTTTACAACTTACTAACTACTAAACTTGACAGTCCAAATAATGTAACAGTGTGCTGGAGCATCAATTTCTGTGTCCTCATCCACAAAATAAATTAACTCTGTTCCATTATAAACAGGGTATGATAGATTTCCAGAATATAAATAAAGGTTTTCTATTTTCTATATTTTAAAAAAAAAATTAGTCACAAGATAAATGGTTATCGAACAGAACCCCAGCAAGCGTATTTGCACACTTACCCTAGGAAGGACTGCACTAAGTAGGAGAACTACTAAATTTAACTGCCACTAAGCCACAGACATAAAACTGATCTCATCTTTTACAAAATCAATCCCCTTTTGACTGTACAAGACTATAAAAACAAGACAAATAGTCCAATTACATTTTCACTTGCAGATTGACCCATTAATTTGTGGTGGGTTGTAAATTTTGTCCCCCTTCCCTCTTTCCATTTTCTTCCCAAATCATGCTACATTCTTGTATAAGATGAAGGAACAAAACAACAAAAGAAAAACCAGTATAAAAACCTTAAGCCATGATTAACCCCGTGAGCATCCCTCAGACCGTCTGCACAAAATTGATTGATCAACTGACAAAGTACAACCAGTTCTCAGATGCAAACAATGGGACAACCATATAGCAATCCCAATTAGAACTTAAAAGTTAAACTTCTAGCGCGTTTGGATAAAATAATTTCCAAAACTTATGGAAAACTGCTAAAGTCGATAATCTAAGAAAAAAGAGGATGCCATTTATTCCTCCCTAGATTCCAAGGCAGTAGCACTATCTAGGAGCAATTATTATCAATAAAGGAAGTTCTTCATCGGATAGTGTTTAACAATAAACTTACTAATAAGCCTCATATAAAGATATAGATGGATTGTTGATTGAGCCCTTATGGGAGTCAACACTTAAACAATGATTAGATTTAAAACACAACTTTTTTTTTTTTGATCGGCAATGAAGAATTTTATTGACTAGCAAAAACAAACTACAAAGAGAGGACAAGGAATCTGCTCCAAAAACCAACAGCCATTACATCAAAACAAAAACACCATTTAGATTTCAAAACACATTTATGTTGAAAATCTGAAGACTAGCAATCCTTAAGTAGGCATGTGTGTAATCTCAAGGAATCATACGAGTACACACTTCTACACTAACCAAGCATTTCACACTTCTACACTGTCAATTCTCTAATGATGCCTCTTACTTTGTTGGAAAAATCTCATGTAAGTGATTCTATGACTGACTTTGATAAAGTCTATTTTGATTGAGAACATTTAATCTTATCTTAGACATAAAAAGCTCAAAAGTGAAAGTGAATTCATGATGTTAAATGCCATGACTACATATTTGTTTCAACTTTTAAAGGTTAATCATATGAATAATCTCTCAATTATTATTGACTATTATTTTACTTTTTTAATTTTAAAATTGTGTATTTAAATCCTTTTAATTATAAAATTGTATCAGCAGCTGAAACAACAACAAACAACAAATACATAAATATACAAATCTTGGATATGTGGATATACATATATATATATATATATATAGAGAGAGAGAGAGAGAGAAAATTGTGTATTTAAATCCTTTTAATTATAAAATTGTATCAGCAGCTGAAACAACAACAAACAACAAATACATAAATATACAAATCTTGGATATGTAGATATACATATATATATATATAGAAAGAGAGAGAGAGAGAGAGAGAGAGAGAGAGAGAGAACAGAAACATAAAACTTGACCATTGTTGTTGGTGAGATTTATAGAATTCAAGAAACAAAGGGGGAAAGTCAAGAACACTACAGCCTCTTCTTCAACACTTTCTCACACACACATACACAAACATATACAGAAGTTGATGGAAAGAGGTTTTTACTGAAAATGGAAGAATTCGAAGGAGCTTACCAATATATCTGATTCGAAACCCCCATATTTGGATCAGGTGTTCTTTGAAACCTTCAGATCTGGCTTTAATTAGTTCGAAATCCTTCAGATCTCGTCTCTTGTTCTTTTCTTCAATGAGCACCACCACCGCCATCCTCTTCCACCACTGGAGCTGTCGATCTGAGGCGATAATGAGAAGACAGCAGCGGCGATGAGTGTGGATGAGATCGGCAGAGGGGAGAGAGAAAGAGAGAGAGAGAGAGAGATGAGTCTGGTGACAGAGAAGAGTGAAAATGAGTGAGAGAGAAAAAAAAATGAAATCGAAATCAAAATCAAAATCACTGAGCTTGATGCAGATTGGTTTACCTCTCAGTAAATGAAATCGATTCTGAAGCTTGATGTAGATAGGTTTACCTCTCAGTGATTTCTATGTAAATGGAATAGGTAAATAAATTAAATCACCGAGATGATTCCAATCGATTCCGATTCTGAAATCACTCTGAAATTTAAGGGATCACCGAGCTGAAGCGAGAGAGTGAGCGAGAGATTTGAGGCATCTTCTTTCTAAGACTGAAGAGTAAAGAATGAGAGTCTCAAGAGGGAGGGAGAGGGAGTGAGAGATTACAACACATTTGGAGGCGTTTTTTATCAGCTAAACGGTGCCGTTTTGGTTAGCACAAAAGGCGACGTTTATAAAACGCCGTTGAATATTAAAAAAAACGACGTTTAAGAAAACGCCATTATTTAAACGCCGTTGAAACAAACATTTCCTGTAGTGAAAGTCTACCTTCTTCTCTACTTTTAAGGTATAACTTGTAATAAACCTGAGTTATGAGAATTTTTTTTTCTTCTTTTTTTTGGTTCTATTCTGTTTAAATTTTTAATTTTATATTTTGATTACACCTTTTATAAATATAAAAAAGGACAACCATTTAATTTTTTTTAAAATAAATAAATAAATAATAGTTAATTATACTTTAAAAAAAATTCTTTTGCAACCATCACAAGCCATTGCAAATAACAAAAATATAGTTGTAGGAGATAACCCGCTTGTCCCTTTAGGTCCATAATTGTTGCATTGCACGGGTATTTGTGTTAAATCTTTATGTTCTTTGTCCGAAACAATCGTAATAAACAATTAGGTAAATTAGAGCATCTCCAACCGTGAATCAAAAATTTCACCAATTCTGAGTTCAAAAATGGCCATTTCCTGAATTTGATACTTCAGGCTCCAACGGTTCACCTTCACCAAATCTATCCCGGGACAACCGGCCGGTTGACCGGTTAGGCCAAAAAAAATTTTTTTTTTTTTTTTTTGGGGAATTTTCTGATCTTTTTTTGAACTTTTTGAACTTTTTTCGGGACAACCGGGGTGGTCGACCAGCCGGTCGACCGGCCGGTTGACTGGTTAGGCAAAATTTTTTTTTTTTTTTTAACGGTTTGAACTTTTTTTCCTGAACTGTTTGAATCTTTTACTGGTTGACCGGTTGGTCAACCGGCCGGGCAACCGGTTGGTCGACCGGTGTAGCATTTTCAACGGTCAGTAACAGTGATTTGGTAAAATCTATGTCTTGATCTCAGTTTGATGTCTTGTTTGCTAAATTCTCATTTTGGTATGACTTTGGTGCAACCGTTGGAGCGTGAAAAAGTGGGTTTTTCATCAAAATTTAAATCTGATGCTGGGTTTGGTTCAGCGTTGGAGATGGTCTTACAGCACACTTTTTAAGTTTTTACTTTAAATATGAATTGTTTCATGTGATTCTAAAAGTCATATCTCATCACTTCAAGTTTATAATTGTATATGAATTCCTTGAAAAGTCAGCACATATGAATTCCTTGAAAAGTCTCAACACATGATTATTATCCCTCATAATAACACTTTAATGCATTAAGAACAAGTATAAATTTTTTTTTTCAAAAGTTCAACACATATGATTATTATCAAAATATTAAACTTTAATATAGTATAATAATAAAAAAAGACATTTAATTCCTTGAAAAGTCCAACACATATGATTATTATCAAAATATTAAACTTTAATATAGTATAATAAAAAAAAGACATTTAATTCCTTGAAAAGTCCAACACATATGATTATTATCAAATTTTTGTCTTTTTTTTTTTTTTTTTTTTTTTTCATTGTCACATAAATAGAGCTCAATTAATACTCTACTTTTAGAGCTCTCTCTCACCTCTCTATTTTTTGGAAAAAGTTTTTTTTTAACAATTGTTTGGAAAAGTTTGATTAAGCTGCTGCTGCTGAGAGGAAAAATACTTGGGATCATTAGAAATGGAGCACTACAAGGAGTACTAATGATGGAGTACTAATGATGTGATAGTGGACCCCGCCTACTTTCTATGCCTTGTTTTTTTTTTTTTTTACCATTTCCAATGCATTAGTGCTATTAGTGGTGTATTTTTTAGTGATCTAAATCATTGTTGATATATATATATATATATATGTGTGTCATTAATTTGGTCACTAATTTGGTCACAAAGACTTGACTAACTTATGATGACCTTAGTGAGTCTACCACCTTGACCAGATCAGAACTACCACTTGTAAAAAGGCAAATATTGTCCGATTTGATTCACCTAATTACCCATTTCACATCATTTAATTTGTCTCTTTTCATCCTTTATTTTCTATCCCTTTAAAAATTATGATGTTAGGCAGAACGGTGATGGGAAGAGGGAAGGGTGTGGCGGACAGATGGCAGTGATGGTGATCTCGAAAGGGTGGGTGGAATGAAAAATTATAATTTATAATTTTAAGATATGAGTATTTTTTTAGTAATTTTAAATAGGAATAAAATTTTAAAAAAATAAAGGTGTAACGAGATAATTTTATGATGCAAATAAAGGAAATTCTATTTCCACACACATACTTATCTCTGTGCACACATTTAATGATTTATTTTTTTATTATAGTTTTGTTCTAAAATAAAATTACTAAGGTGTCCTTATCTTCTCCACCAAAATCCTAGTTTCTTTAAGTCATGCTAAAATCATTAAATCATTTCTGCTCCAATGTAAGTCATGCTAAAATCAAAGTAAAATCTACAAAAAATTCAGTTGCATGTATTAACAACTGTTGAATAATCTTAGATCGAAAATAAAACTAGAAAGTGCACAAGAACAAACATCAAGTGCGCACGATTGTTCCAAGCTTTCAATCCAAATGTGGGGAAGTTGGAGAATCCACATTGTTCACCACCAGAAAAGAACCATT